CAGGCAGAGGGAGAGGGAGAAGCAGGCTCCCTGCTGAGCCAGGAGCCTGATGCGGGGCTCAATCCCAGGTGCGGGGCTCGATCCCAGGACCCTGGGATCATGACCTGAGCCAAAGGCAGACACTTAACCGACTGAGCCACCCAGGTGCCCCCTCAAAGAAACACATTTTTCAAAAAGTGATGACAAATGGATTGTGATGACAACAGCATTGCTTTCTGGTAAACAATACACGTATTTATATTCTCTGATACACAAAAGTTATAATCTGTCTTTACCTAAACATGTTAGAACCAAAAACAGGCAGAGCAGCTAATACCAACAACACCACACAAACCACAAATTCCTACACCTTCCTAGTTCGTTTCCAAAGGCTCAAACTCTTTTAAGTGTTGTGAGAAGTTGCTTAGCTAAGTTATTAACTAAGACAGACTTCCTTCTGTAAAATTCTCTTCAGCTCTGTCAATAATACCCATATATGCTGAGCCCCTGTCCGTTGAGCTGGCGCACACCAAGGAACCCGAGGAGGTGACAGAGCTCATGTGTGTTGGTGTTCGCATCATGCATCTGTGAACAGCAGGTTCTACAGCTCTGAGGAACTAGAGCTGCCAGATCAAAGGTTACCATTACGCAACTAGAATACATGCTTTATGCAAATAGGTGAGGGTAGGAAAGGAAGAGGTTAAAAAAAAACAAACACCACCAAACTCTTGGAGCTGCCCATGACTGCCTGCAGCCATCATGTATGTGGTGTTCCAGAGGGCGGGGGTCCCAAGTCGCTGATTCCCCGGTCCCTCTCTACCGCTAATATGGGCTGTGCCTCTTTCCATGAGAAAAAGGGAACCTTATGAAATGAAGAAATGATGACCAGTTGTAAAAACTCCATTTGTTTGTAAGTCAGAAAGTTATGCATAGTCAGAGGCCAGGGTATTTTAGATCTTCAATTTCCATCATCTTTCACAGCCAAGTTGCTTAGATATTAAAGACATTTATTAAGCAACTTAAGGAGTCATATTTAAATATCAATACATACTAGCTGATTATTTCTATGTAATTAAAACAACATGGCTTCTGTCCCATCTAGCTAATGGGCTATAAGTCACAAAGTAGGTGTTTTCAGAGGACTGAAGACAAGCAAGGTTTGATATGCTCACTGCAAGAATTTTTCAGTGCTATACTGTTGGTGGGAATGCAAGCTGGTGCAGCCACTCTGGAAAACAGCATGGAGGTTCCTCAAAAAGTTGAAAATAGAGCTACCCTACGACCCAGCAATTGCACTACTGGGTATTTACCCCAAAGATACAAATGTAGTGATCCGAATGGGCACCTGCACCCCAAAGTTTATAGTGGCAATGCCCACAATAGCCAAACTATGGAAAGAGCCCAGATGTCCATTGACAGATGACTGGATAAAGTAGATGTGGTATATATATACAATGGAATACTACTCAGCCATAAAAAAAATTGAAATCTTGCCATTTGTAATGACATGGGGGATGGAACTAGAGGGTATCATGCTAAGTGAAAGAAGTCAGAGAAAGACAATTATCATATGATCTCATTCACATGTGGAATTTAAGAAACAAAACAGAGGATCATAGGGGAAGAGAGGGAAAAATAAAACAAGACAAAATCAGAGAGGGAGACAAACCAGAAGAGACTCTTAATCATAGGAAACAAACGGAGGGTTGCTCGAGGGGAGGGGGATGGAGGAATGGGGTGATAGACATTAAGGAGGGCATGTGATGTAATGAGCACTGGGTATTATATA